GAAATATTATATATCTGTGCTAATATGATAGCCAGTAGTCACCTTTGAAATGTGGCTAGTGTGACAAAGGAACTGAATTTTAAATTTTAGATGCTTTAAATTAATTTAAAATTAAAAAGCTACATGTGGCTAGTGGCTCAGTATTAGACAGAATAGCTTGGTTATGGGGCATTGTCAGTGCCTCTAGAGCAGTTGCTGGCATCATTGCCCACCTTCCACTCTCTATTTGTGCTCCTGTTTACTTTTTTGGTCTCTGAGGACATCCCTTAGTTGCTTGTGAGCTTTGCTATGCATTCAAAAGGATAATTCTTATATTTTTATCAAGCATTTTTAGGTGTCATGTAGCAAAAGGGTTCTCAAGCCGTTTGGACACAAGAATTGCAGAAAGGGAAGTCTCTTACAGCTTTATTTTATTAGTTAGTGAAGTACTTATCTTTTTTTTTTTTAAAGAAGATGTTGGGGGTAGGAGTTAATTTATTTATTTATTTTTGCTGTGTTGGGTCTTCATTTCTGTGCGAAGGCTTTCTCTAGTTGTGGCAAGCGGGGACCACTCTTCATCGCGGTGTGTGGGCCTCTCATTATTGCGGCCTCTCCCGCTGCGGAGCAGAGGCTCCAGACGCGCAGGCTCAGTAGTTGTGGCTCACGAGCCGAGCCGCTCTTCGGCACGCGGAATCCTCCCAGACCAGGACTCGAACCCGTGTCCCCTGCATTAGTAGGCAGACTCTCAACCACTGTGCCACCAGGGAAGCCCTGAAGTACTTATCTTGAATGATAAACATTGGAAAGTTCGTAGCAGAGTGGTGGGAATTCTTTAAATAGAAACGGACCATGAAATTAAAAATTATGAGAAAGAATTAATTAAATAATTACTTTGTCCTTATGCTACAAAATTTTTAAAGATGATAAAAATAGAACTGTGGGTAAAGTTTTTAAAGTCTTACACATAATCTTCAGCTTCTTGGTGTCGGTAAGTGTTTTATATATACAAGAGTGCATGAATGAAAAAGTATACACGTATTTAGAAGGAAAAATATTTTGAAAATGGATGGAAATAAACCAAATGAGTTTAAGAGATCATAGTGAATGGTGGTATTGGGGGAACAGCTAAATCCTCTTGGATTTAGCAGGAGCGTGTGTTAGTAATTTAGTTGTAGGGATTTTTTAAAAAATCTAAGTAATGAGTCCTAGCTATTTCTCACGTAGACACTTCTTTTTCTCTTATAGGCAAATATTAGAAACATGCAGTTGGTTTTTAGTATTTATGAATTAAAAAGTCTAAATTCTTTGTAATTTCTGTTACTTCAGGATTTGCTTACCCTTTCGAAACCATAGGTAACTGATTCTTTTTTTACGTTTCTATTTCTTATTGTAGTAAAATACACGTAAGATTTACCATTTTAACTATTTTAAAGTGTACAGTTCAGGTACATTGAGTACATTCACATTAATGTACAGCCATCACCATTCGTCTCCAGAACTTTTTTCATCTTCCCAAAATGAAACTCTTCACCCATTAAACACTAACTCCCCATTTTCCATTCCTCCAGCCCCTGGCAACCACCATTCTACTTTCTGTCTGTGTGAATTTGACTTCTCTAGGTCCCTCATACATGTGAAATCATAGAGTACTTGTCCTATTATGACTTGCTTATTTCACTTAGCATAATATCTTCAAGATTAAATTTGATTTTTTAAAATTATAATTTGTGATGAGATTAAAAGTGGAGATTACATTAGCTTTTAGTAGAGATTGGGAATCTTTGTGTATTTTCTTTGTAGAAGTTATTGTACAATGAAATAAATTAATGTTAATTTGATCTCCAGACAGAATATTATTAGAAACAACAGAATGTGCTACTGTATGTTGTGGTTTATAATTCTATTAAATTTAAGTTTTAAAATAATTTAAAAGTGGGACTGTTGAGCTAGTTTTAGAATAGATGATCTGGTGTTATAAAACCAGAAATCCTTTTAAATACTTCCATAGGTTTTAACTGACTAAAAGTGACAGGAGGGACTTCTCTGGTGGCACAGTGGATAAGACTCTGCACTCCCAATGCAGGGGGCCCGGGTTTGATTCCTGGTCGGGGAACTAGATCCCACATGCGTGCCACAACTAAGAGTTCGCATGCCACAACTAAGGAGGCCATGTGCTGCAACTAAGGAGCCGGCAAGCTGCAACTAAGGAGCCTGTGAGTCGCAACTAAGGAGCACGCCTGCTGCAATCAAGACCCAGCACAACCAAATAAAATAAACTAAATAAAAATAAATATTAAAAAAGTGGGCTTCCCTGGTGGCGCAGTGGTTGAGAGTCCGCCTGCCGATGCAGGGAACGAGGGTTCGTGCCCTGGTCCGGGAGGATCCCACATGCCGCGGAGTGGCTGGGCCCATGGGCCATGGCCGCTGAGCCTGCGCGTCCGGGGCCTGTGTGCTCCGCAATGGGAGAGGCCACAGCAGTGAGAGGCCCGCGTACCGCAAAAAAAAAAACCCCAAAAAACAAAACAAAACAATAAAAAAAGTGACAGGAATTATTTTTAGGTCATGTTTAGTGCCTGCAGTAAAGAAAAGGATATGGTGGAGTTTCTTTCCTTTAACTGGTCCTTGAGTTCCCTGTCAGGATGGGTGTCAGCGGGCCTAAGGAGGCCTGCTGTAGCCTTACCACTTGTGCATATCAAGTATTATCACAAAAGTTGGAGGAGCCACTTGAAAGAACCCATAGTAGGTTAGCATGAGGATAAATTCTTTGCTGAAAATAAACAGCAGTGGCTCAAGTTCCTGGAAAGTGCGTTGAAAGGCCAGATTTTGCAGAAATATCCCAATAATGCCTTTTACGTGAAACTCTGGATTTAAGACAGACTCTTTCCCTCTTAGACGGTGTGAAAAACAACAAGTAAGATTTTTCTTCTTTCTTCTTTGTATGTCCAGGTTGGTAGCATTTTGAGGAGGAGGAAGGGAATCTGAAAGTTTTATCATTTGTGCTTCTGAACTGCCTCATTGCTGAAAAGAATTGGTGACCACCTACTTGGGGATGGAGGGTCTGCATTTCAAAGCTGTGATTAGCATAAAGAATCTTGAACATAGGACTTCAGTTATAAGTAATTTAAAAATATGTTTTCTAAGAAGTACTCCATGACATTAATTCCAGCTCATGCATTGTTGCATATTTGTCAAGTACATTTACCACCTCAGATAGTAAGGTTATAAATCCAGTGTTTATAAGTTTTATTATCCTGGTTTTTTGAGGTTACTATTTTTAGTGCTGAGAAAACTAATATATGAGGAACTTCAATCCTTGAATAAGTTTTTATCTGGCAGTTTATAACTGTGGATAGGAGGGGTGCATGACTTAGTACAAAGTGCTTTGATGTTGCCATGTAGGAATTTTAAATTAAGATAAAAAACTTGATATAAGCATGAACAAAGAGAGAAGTCCCTGGGCAGAGAGAAGACCCCAGAGGTGTGAGCGAGCTGTGCGTGAGCTCCCGGGGCCCCTGTGAGCGGGTAGTCTCCTCTGTGTCTCTGTGACATGGGGCCCTCGTCCTCGGCCACCTGTCAGTTCGCTCCTCTGGGCAGCGTGCGCCACCTCCTAGTCTCCTGGCCGGGAAACAAGTCTAATAGACTCGGCGAAGCACCAGGAAGAAAGTGTATTCATTGTGAGAACCTTTCGTCACGTGGATTATGTGTTGCTTTAGAATTTTCCCTACGGCTTCTCATTTTCTTTGGGATAATTGGGTTATCTGGAAATGGAAATCATTTAATAGTAGCCACTGCAAGACGAAGAGGAGGGCGTGTGGGGTGGGGGCCAGGTGATTATGCGGTAGCCCGTCGGAGATAGGCCACTACTAACTACAGCGTGTGGACCCTGCTGGGCGTCCAGAATTTCTGTTCGGAGAATTTATCCTTCTTTTGTATATTACACAGTATGAGTAGAGATGTTTTATAGATGGGGCAAGCATTATTTCTTCAAAAAATGGTTCCTGAACTGAAATCTGTTTCAGAAGCAGAGGTCCTTAGTATTATGCTATTTTCTTAATTGATCTGGAAAGTAATCACCGCTTCTGGTGATTACGAGAAGTAGCTTATCAGTTTATGAAGGCAGCTACACATGACTTAGCACAAATATAAATTTTGTATCGAATCTGATGTTACCTTGTTTGTGGAATTTCATGTATTAGGTTTGGGGAGGCATTTGTGCATCCGTGGTTATGTTTAAATGTAGCATTAGTATTACTTTATGCCTCATTTTGTTTAATATATTATCAAGAGAAGAAGATTTATAATGGAAATCTTGGCAGAGGGTTAAGTTTGTATTTATAATAATGCAGGGTGGTGCTTTACGTTATACTCAAAAGAACCAAATACAAAATTTTGTACGTAGTATTTATAAAGTGTATTTTTAAAATATGTACAGAAAGTTCCTGGAAAGGAGATATGCCCCACATGGTTGGGTAGATGTAGTGGCATTGTACTGTGAGAGAATTTTTTTTCTTTCTACTTTGCTGCTGTTTCCAGCTTTTTAAAACAATGAAACCATATTACTTTTATAGTGAGGAAACTGCCCATTATAAGGGAAAGTGCATAGCAATCACTTTGGTAATCTTTATTTGATGGTGTATATAAATCACCTGTGTGCAGTCAGAATACATTTAGCTCGCGTGATATGCTTAATTTACCCCAAACGGAGTGCTTTCTTCCTATGACTTATTTATGTGGGGGTGGGATGGGGAGGGACTGAAGACAAAGGGCACATGTTAATAAGTTTCTGTGTATTAACTCCTTTAGACATACTATTTGCTTTTGAGGTAATGGCTTACTGAAAAAGGAAAATAGGAGCAGAATCATGATATTCCGAAGATTGGTAATTTTTTATATTTAGATGACGTCATGGGGTTCTTTTAGAAATAGAAAATTTTTATATAAATTATTTTTATTTCCTTTTAGAAAACTTTAAACACTGACCTTTAGAAAATATGATTTCTTTCTCTTTGTTTTCTGACCAGGACATGTATTCCTCTGAGAAACGTTGGACAGCAGATTTGGGTGTAGTGCCTGATCGGGACCACGTACAAAGACATCTCCAGTCATGGGTAAGTGCCCTTCCTCCTGTGTATCATTTCAGTCCTCTCAGGAGCATCTGCAGTGTTGTCCTTAAAGAAAAAAATTGTTACTGAGCAGATTGGAATTATGTCACTTCATCAGAGATTGGATAATCTGGTTCAGCCCAATACTGTGCACTTGCCTGTATTTAAACGAGGAGATTGATGTTTGATTTATTCTAAGAAGTTAGGTGTGGTGAGGATATCTGTGTCATTAGCTTCTTGGCTGGTTTAGTTCTACTATCTAAACTTTTCTGTTGACTAGCCATTGGAAAGTGACTTTTTGGAAATATGAAGAGGGAAAAAATTGCAGTTGACCATAATTAGCAGAGGTTTTATTGTGTGAAATTTAATCATTGGGTAACATAGGTTAATATTATATTTAAGCAAAAAAAAGAAAGAAATCTCTTTATCAATGTCTTTGATGGATCAAGGAACCAAGTCTATCCTATAGACCTGTCTTGATATAGATTTTATCTGCTCAGTTGTGAGGGGATGGTATGTGTAATATTTTCTGTCATTCCTTTCCACTTCTGTTTGTGAACAGAACTGGATTTTACTATTTTGTGGTGGTTACTTTTAGAGAGTGAGGAAAGAATTAAGATTTAATCCTGACTGGGATCCTATGACAGTTCTGATGTACTTTTAGAGTACAGCTTTTTGATTATGGAAACCTTGGGATGAAGTGAGCATTTTCTTATTGGAATATAATATTAGAGAGTTTAAAATTTTTCACATGTTATTTATATTAATTATATTTACCTTAATAGGAATAGAGTCGCTTTTCTCATCAGTTTGAATAATCAGGCAGTTGATAAGTGAAAATGAAGCTGTTATTGTGAAATCTTTGAGTGCTTTCTGCTAAAAGTAATATTGCAAGTAGTGGTCTTTGGTTTTGGAGACTTTTCAGTGGGTTACTTTTTCGGTGGTGTGCTTTGAATAAACAAGGATAGTTGCCAGATGAGTTCAAATACAGATTCGGAAAGAAGCACCTTTGGTTATGTCAGCTCCGTTCATATGAAGTTTTGTGAGAATGTTTACCTATCATAGAATGCCAACTCTAGTAAAGATGGTAATATGACTTCATGAACACTAAGAGCATTTTAGTTTAAAAAATGCTTACCTTTTTTGGAAATGGAACTAAATTTTGTTCTGCGTTGTAACCTTAGTGGTCTGGTAGATCACTGTTACAGCTGGCAAGTTCTTTGAGGACAAATACAGGGTGTCTTTGATTTTTGAATCTTGGTGTCTAACACGACTGCCCCCTAAAACTCAGAGCCCTGTGAGCGTGAAAGCAGAGGGAGGGATGGCTTACTAGGCAGCCAAGATACGTATCGGAACCACCAACAATTTATCCATAAATTACAATGGTTATACTTCATTTGCAAGATTTAAAATTTTTTTTTATATCTACTAGTTCATTTCTCATTTCTGCTCGTTTGTATTTAATATTTTTTTGGTTCTTTTGTTATTTATCTCTTCGAAGATCTCTTACATGCTTATTTTAAAGTCTTTTTCAGATCATTTGATGATTTTTGTCTTGTCTGCAGTGAGTTTATGTGTGGTTGTTGGTATTGTTGGTGTTTTCATCATGTTCTGTAATTCTGCAGGCAAGTTCTGATGGGAGTTTCTTTTTTCTTTTTCCTGTGTGTGTGTGTGTGTGCACGTGTGTGTGTCTCTCTGTCTCTTTGTGATTTCCCCTGCTGGTCTAGCAGATTTGCCGTTGTCTCTGCCTGGCTTTGGAGTTCCCAGATCAGAATCAGGTCTGTGTTAGTGGACCAGAGCCCCGGTCCCATGGTGACGTTGGGGATATCACAGATTCAGTCACTGAGGCAGCTGGCATTAGGTCAGCCGCTTCCTAAGCTGTAGCCTGAGTGCAGTTAGCAGAAGTCTTTTTCAGTCTAGTTTCCTATCAAGGAAGAGTGCCAGCCCAGTCCCTGGTTTTGAGCAAAGAGCCTGGCTACTGACCCTTGTAGCCCTTGTGGAGCCCTTGTTACACCACACGATCAACCCATAGTTAATCCCCGAGGATCAGCTGCCTGCTGCCTTTTCCTGCTTTGGGGCCCAGAGCTCAGCAGACCTCCTGGCTTCAGCAAGGCTCACACTTTGTGTTTCTGTTAGATTTCTGATCTGTGGAGACGTTTAACATGTTTGGGGGCATAGGTATGTCCTTTTGGTCATTTGTCTTCATATTTTATCTGTAATTTCTCTGTGTTTGTTGCGAAGAAAGGGAGCTGCAAAGCATGAACAATGCCATTGGGCATTTAACCATTGGGAATACAGTGAAGTCCCAAATCCTTACTTCACATTTAAGATTTAAAAATAAATCAGTTTCTGCTTAGTTCCCTGGTTCCTAGAGTTCCTGCCCGTCGTCCATTACCACTTCACTCGCTAGGTGAGCCCCGTGGGGCTGTGCCTCCGGAGCATGCTGCTTGCCTCACTCTAGTAGCTGTCGTCCTCCGGTAAAATCAGCAGCCTGTTTACTCTGATCTTCATCTATTCAGTAAACTCCTTAAGGGCAAAGACTTATTCCTAGTGGTAAGTTCCTGGCACTCAGTAAATGCTCAGTAAATAGTGCATGGATTTGACGGTTCCTAAGTGACATCCTTACTATGTGGTAACTGTAGCTGTTCCATGTGTTATTATTCTTAGGTTGAAATTCGAGCTGCTCCCATGAAAAGAGTGTGTGTGTAGGATAAAGCGTTCCAAGTAGGGGAGCACTGTGAGAAAGGCATGAAGGTTTGACCATACAAGGATGTTACTGAGTAGTTGAGCATTCTGGAATATAGAGCTGGGGAGGAGAGGAAATCAGGGTCCGGGGGCATGTACATTTCTGAAGGTTTGGACTTCATATCTCAGGGCTTAGGAACTATTGAGGGACTTCAGTTAGGGGAACAACTTAAGATTTTATTCTGGAAAAATTACTCTGACAAAGAGACATTTTTGTTAGATGTAAATTAAAAAGATGGGTTACAGGCAGTATTTGCTTTGCCTAGTTTTGTTCTTAGTTTTCAGCCCTTTCGTTGCTCGCTTTGAAATAAACTTTGAGTTTCTTTCTTGCCAACTTGATTTTCTGTAGTGATGGAAATCATTCTCGAGCAGAGAACTGGAACCATAGATTAGGGAGTGTTGTCATGGTCTGTGCCGTGTTGCAGTTTCTATGGGGTTGTAAGTTTTCATAAAGGTGGGAGGGAACTGAGTATATCAGAGTTCCTGTTTTTGTAAAAATTACTGGAGAAGCATGGTACAGGTTAAAAAATAGGAAGACATGTCATTAAAGATAGAATTTCCAAACCTAGATTTGGGTGAGATTGACAACTAAAATTTTTTTCAGTATTTCTCTAGAGATTACAAGAAAGGTTGGATACTTGTATGTCTGGATGCGTTTAGCTCTGCAGGATTTCCTAACCCTTCCCATGTCATGAACCATGTAGGACATGGTAGTAGTTGTACAGCATGTGAGATAAACTAATGGAGATGTTTGGGGCTTGGAGGCTACCAGCTCTGACACCTCAGGCCGGGCCGAGGGATCTGTTTCTCTGCACATCCTGACACACAAATTGGGATGCTCCAACTGTAAGACCTAGAGAATTTGTTAGGTGCTTTAAGATGTTCTTCAGCTTTTAGTCTCAATTTTTATGTATTCTGTTAAGTTCTGAGGCCGAATATTGATCTTGTGGAATATGTGTTATATGATGCTGCTATGCTGTGCATTTCATTGTGAATTGTTAACTTTATTACAATTTGCAAAAAGCCTTTTTCAGTACTTAAATTGGTCTTAATTTTCTATAATGCATATTCAGCAATGTTTAGCATTTATCAGATTTGTTAAAGATTTTGTTTTTATCAGATGGTGCCAAAGATGCAATAAAGTTGTTATATTTAAGTCTGGCTGTCATTTAAAATGGACTTTTTAGATCTTTGATGGAGATTATAAAAGCAAGAGTAGTTTGTGTAAAGAGCAGTGCTTGGGACTTCCCTGGTGGCGCAGTGGTTGAGAATCTGCCTGCTAATGCAGGGGGCACAGGTTCGAGCCCTGGTCTGGGAGGATCGCACATGCCGCGGAGCAACTAGGCCCGTGAGCCACAACTACTGAGCCTGCGCCTCTGGAGCCTGTGCTCCGCAACAAGAGAGGCCGCAATAGTGAGAGGCCTGTGCACCGCGATGACGAGTGGCCCCTGCTTGCCACAACTAGAGAAAGCCCTCACACAGAAACAAAGACCCAACACAGCAAAAATAAATAAATAAATTACTGAACTCCTACCCCCAACATCTTCTTTAAAAAAAAAAAAAAAAAAAGACTCCACCTGCCAATGCAGGGGACACGGGTTCCAGCCCTCGTCCGGGAAGATCCCATATGCCACGGACCAACTAAGGCCGTGCGCCACAACTACTGAAGCCCACATGCCTAGAGCCCGTGCTCCGCAACGTGAGAAGCCCACATACCACAAGGAAGAGTAGCCCCCTCTCGCCGCAACTAGAGAAAGACCTCGTGCAGCAACAAAGACCCAACACAGCCAAAAACAAATAAATAAACAAATTTATTTAAAAAAGAAGAGCAGTGCTTAACAATTTCTAGATGATTATTTTGATGGAATATGTTAAAAAAAAAAAAAGCCAAAAAAGCACCAAAAACCAAAAGTGATAATTTAGGGTACTAATTATTTTCCTTTTCCTAAGTTTTAAGTTAAAAAAAATAAAGCTTATCTAATCTATTAAAATTTTTAATCTTTACTTCTGTATTTATTTCACTTTCTTTGGAAAAGTTTTGCTCTGTAAGTAATTATATGAAATGTTTCCTAAGAGAGTCTTTTTGGATGTTGACTGGGCAATCCAGGAGTGAATCTGTTGTGTGGGAGAGTTTGATCCTGCCCTTTGGCCTAAATAGTGGAGTGAGTTTTTTGAGGTTACTTCGGGATATGAAATGTTTCTCTTTTATCTGAGGAAAAAGTAATGGCAGCGAATAATTTGGGATGTGGTGTATTTGTGGC